TGTTGTTCAGTCAGAGAAGCTTCAGTCTCCAGTGGGCCCCTGCCCACTGAAGAATTTTGCAACGTTCCCGTCATTTTGAAAAGATTTGACTTGCACTTTACCAAAATCCCTAATAGAATAACCTCCGTCGGCGACAGCTTGACAACTTGCGGGGACGACCTGGCCGCTTTCAAATTCCAGGCGAAGAAAAAAGTCACAGCTGTCAGAACTCACCTATTTTTATTTCTTGCTTGACTTAGTTTTCAAAAAAGAGGTGAGATTCCTGGAAATGATTGACAACAGACAAATGGGCGAGACGACAGGAGAAATGATGTAAGTGACATCCTCGAACAGAGCAAAATATTCGAATTCTCATCCGTCAGTTTATATAAAGGACCAAAAAGAGGATAGGCTCCCGAACGTCACACACTAGTGACTATTACATGGATTAGCAAAGCTCACCCGACCAGAAGCTCTTCTCTCATTCGAAATCACGAAGAGCCAACTCCTTTTCTCATTTTTTTACAAATGCAAAGCAGCTGATGGCCTTCAGTTGATTACTCACTAAAATTGTACTCAAGTCAACTAGTCTTTTTCCATACCTTTCCCATGAGAATTCGCTCGACCCAGAAGCGCAACTAAAAATGAGACTGGCTGGGCTATTCAACTACTGGGACGAATAGCCTCTAAAGAGATCGTACGAGGCTTTGCTCCGATATGAAACGATCATAAAGATAGTTTTCTGGGAAAGTGAATCTTCTATTCTGTGGCATAGTGGGTGAGGTGTAGGTGAAGTTGAAGTTTTTCAATGCTAACGCAAGAGGGCTCACAGATGATTGTGCCAAACGGCATAGAGACGGTTAACGTTGTAAATGGGAAAACTGTGACCGCTTTCTAAGGCAAATGCCTGCTAGCTTGGCAGATTCTAAAAGTGAAAGGTGTGAGGGAAGATTAACCCATTTTCACTTTCGACTTAAAGGCACAGTTCACGATAATTTTGAGGTTTCCGTTTTTTCAAAAAGCGGAAGTTAAGATTGGGAATAGTTCATCGGTAGTGAAGAAAACGAGAGAATTCGTCGAGAATTCGTCGAATTCGAGAAAAATATGGCTCTTCAGAATAGGGGAAATTGACGTTGGACGAGATTGCCCTGACGGAAATATTATGGAAGGGGTATTCGGACGAGATTCCAGTTATTGCGCAATTACACAAAGAGCTGACTACATCAAGCCAGAACTGCACAGAACTGTCTTTCACTGTCGCTGTAGGTCATGACAAGATGTTTGAACTCCCTATATGGGTTCCCTTGTGATCGGTGCAGCCTCTGCAATGCAGGTGAACCTCGACCGAGGATACACACGCGCCAATCTTTCAGCCTTTATAACTCCCTAACTAGGCCGTTTTCCGACCTAATAGTGTCAGATATGGTATACGCGGGGGCCTCAAACTCATCCTGTGGGGAATCTCAGAAACCATTTTTATCGTGAACTATGCCTTTAACAAGAATTGAAACATTTTTAGGTACAATTAAAATGTGGTGTCCAGCAGCTGTGAGTATTTACCACATTGTTGATAAACAAGCAGGACGGTAAGGTATTTTGAGCGCAATTCTTCTGAAACTGCTACGTAAGGGTAATACGTCAGCAGCAACTGGGCTCAAACTCCCAGCTATGATACACGTACAACATAATTGTTCATTACACTTTCTTAAAATAGATTATCTTGTTTCTCGAGCGCTCTTCTAAATTCTTAAGTGCAGGTTCTTGGGTTGTTTGGAGCCATTTGCTTTGCCTGTAACTTAGCGATCTTGCCAAAATCGTCAAAATCGTAATTCACTAAGAAAATCGAACTGAATCGACAACAGAAATGATAACATATGTTTGACTCTACACCATCTCTTTTTTATATTTGAGCAAGAAAATATGTATTGAGTGATACACGAAACAATCCCCTTCTAGGAGGGGTTGGCGGTCAAATTAAGCTGGAATCCGGAGTCGCCAGCGGCTCGCAATGTTGGCCGTCCATTGCCCTTCCTCTCCTAGATGCCCCACTCATTTGCTAGGCCCTTCACCTTCCCTGCCTACTTGTTTCGTGGCCCATAGGTTGTTTCTTTTTGACTTTTTTCCTACAACCCATGTGGAATGCTAAGTAATTATCCTTATGACTTTTAAATAATGCCGCTCTGTATAATTTGTTTGCTTATTTATCCTATTGTATCACCGTCTGCTACTCTTATTTATTCATTGTTATCGCCTCACTCTGTACAATAGTAACAAATGAATAAATAGATAAATAAAAATTAATAAACATCGGGTTTTGGATAATTATTTAATGCTGTCTTTTGTAGATGCCTATGAATGCGTGTTCGACCCATAATTTAGATTTTGTAAGCCTGTTGGTTCACCTTCTCCCAATCCCCTGTCTCCGTAATCATACTCCTCTTACTTAATTGAAATGACACCGCTAGCACCCACTCAGGGATTTCCTTCATAATAGCGTCTCCTTGGAATCACTGAAGCAATCCTGAAGC